TAAAGCTTTTGGGGCATGTCAAATTTCAGGATTTGAAATGTAGATTTAAAGTGTTTGCTGTATTTGGAGAAGAAGACAAGAAAAATGCATGGGGTGCGCTGTTTGATGTTGAGGATCCAAGATCCAAGATTCCACAGAATAAAGGGAAGGTTTTGGATATATATCAGGCCCTGGAAGTTGCAAGACATGATATTCAGTACTTAGACTGGCGAGCTCGGCAAGATGTGCTCACAATCATGCTCCTCCATGAAAAGGTTTCAACCGGTTTCATTTTGTTATTGTTGTATAGAATTAATTTGATGCCTGAATTATGATGTTTCCTGATGTTTATGATTTTAACATTGATAATCTTGGTCACTGGATCAGATTAGTGTCAGTACATTATGGTTTTTGTTTACACGTCTTTTTACCCTTTTACTGGTTGACCTACGCATTTTCCACCATGTGTTGATTTACACCTTTAAAATTATGAGCTTAGGTGGTTGAAGTTCTGAATCCTCTAGCTCGTGAATATAAATCGATTGGCACCTTGAAAAAGGATCTAGCTGGGTTGCAGGATGAGTTAGCACACGCACACAGACAGGTATAGAATTTTAGCTGTGATAGACCACTCACAACGTGAAACTGAGTTGCTTTTTTAATTGATCGAACTTGGCAGAAACTTGGCAATTTCTTACTAATCTGCAATTAAATTTATGTAAATGAATAAAAACAGGTTCATATATCTGAAGCAAGGGTTACCACTGCTTTAGATAAGCTTGCTTACATGGAAGAATTGGTAAATGATAGGCTGTTGCAAGACAGAAGCACAGCTGAAATTGCCCAAACATCATCTTCTCCCAGTACGTCTGAAAATTCTCTACCTACAGAAAAGAGAAGAAAGTCACGGAAAAGCTTGAACGTATCAGGCCCAGTTCAGTCGTACCATCCCCACTTGAAGAATTTCTGGTATCCTGTTGCTTTCTCCAGGGACCTAAAGGATGATACAATGGTATGTGCGTATGTGTCTAAGTGTCTTTCTCTTTTCTGGAAAAACATCTATCATATACTTACTATTCTTGTGTTGTGTAATCTATTTCAATCAAACAAAATAAAGATTGGGCGTATGTTCAGATTGATATGGCTGCCTCTTTCTTTTTCTTAACTATTAAAGAGCTGAATTTAAGGTTTTTATCCTAATCTCCCCATTTGAGTATACCCATGAAGGCTACTAAAATGTCTTTTTGTGACACATTATGACTGGTAGAAAATAAAAAAGTTTCAATATTTCACATTAGTTTTTTTTTTTTTCGCTTCTCTATTTTTGTTTTCAATTTTTCTTGGGGGTAACCGGGTGTGATGTCCGGTGAAAGATAGACATGCTCTAAGCTAAAATGTTAATTCTCAAGTAGTGTGTTTGCCATTTTTCTATCTCAGATCCCAATAGAATGTTTTGAGGAACCATGGGTTATCTTCAGAGGGAAAGATGGAAAGCCTGGATGTGTCCAGAATACTTGTGCACACAGAGCCTGTCCTCTGCACCTGGGTTCAGTAAATGAGGGTCGTATCCAATGCCCCTACCATGGTTAGTCATGACTGGAACAAATTATTATGTCCTATGTATGAGTTGTTTGCACTTGTTGATACTTCAATTTTCCTGTAATTTCACAAGACACGATATAGCCTACAGACATACACTGAAATTTACAGACTCTAAAATTACCAAATGGTTGGATATCAGGCTGGGAATATACCACTGAAGGAAAATGTGAGAAAATGCCATCTACTCGATTTCTAAATGTGAAAATAAAGTCAGTTCCATGCTTTGAAAAGGAGGGAATGATCTGGATTTGGCCTGGAAATGATCCGCCAACGGCTACACTTCCATCTTTACTACCGCCTTCTGGATTTGAAATCCATGCCGAGGTACGTTATCGATAGAATCTGTTCCACTAGGTATTGTGTTCAGTGCGAGATAAAGAATTATAATTATATGATTGGTTAAAACAAAAAAAGAAAAAATCATGTGTCTTCTTACTTGGTCGCTCTTCCCTTGTTACAGATTGTGATGGAACTTCCAATTGAACATGGTTTACTTTTGGACAATCTTTTGGATCTTGCCCATGCCCCTTTTACTCACACTTCAACATTCGCTAAGGGATGGAGTGTTCCCAGGTTTGTTTGGTTTATACCATTAAAAACTAAAAGCAATTGTCATTCAGAAAAGACAAGTGATTAAGGGATCAAAATGCCTTTGGGGGATGTTTCAATTCAGATTCGTACAAATTGATCAAAATCCTCTTTCCCTTTCCTGCAACTTCCCTTTAAGTTTTACGCACCTAGTAACACTAGGACAAAGCAAAAATGATTACTCAGTAAAGACTTGGAGTTTTCTTGAAGATATACATTATGTTGTAATAATGCCCTCTACTAAGTCTTTCCATTGACAATTTTATGGCAAATGCATTGGAAAGTGGTATATTTCTGGGGTTAATAGCTCAATATTATACTGTAGTAACACTTTTATCTTACATTGGTTATGAATGGAATATTTCAGCTTTCTGTTATATGTCTTAAATATTAATGCTCTAGCTTATTCATTCTCCTTGCATGAATTTGAACTTGCAGCTTGGTGAAGTTTTTGACACCTGCATCTGGCCTGCATGGATACTGGGACCCTTATCCTATTGATATGGAGTTTCGACCACCTTGCATGGTTTTATCAACCATTGGGATTTCAAAGCCTGGGAAACTGAGGGGACAAAATATCAGGGAGTGTTCAACGCACCTGCACCAACTTCATGTCTGTTTACCATCTTCGAAACAAAAGACAAGATTGCTATATAGAATGTCACTGGATTTCGCTCCCCTGCTTAAGCATATACCTTTTATTCAGTATCTATGGAGGCATTTCGCAGACCAGGTAGAATTTTTTCGAACAATGAATCTATATTTAACTATGTTCGATAATTTGAGTTTGGGAGGAAGAACAGAATAAGATAAAAAGGGTAGGAAGGGTTGCGCTTGCTTATTGTCTTTAACCAAAAGAAATTAATAAAAGCTTCAAGGCTTCAATCCGACCTGAGTATAATATAACATATCTTTCGGACCAAAATGACAGCAATTAATTAAGTTTAGGGACTTAAATAAAACAGTCATAGTTTCAGGGGTTTATTTGGAATTTCCCGCTTTCGGGATCCATGTGAAAGAATTTAATATTTTTAGAGACTAATAAAATTATTTACCCAAAATGAAATTATGTCTAGAGGACTACCGGCTTTTGCTGCAGATATCCTCATAAATTGGGTTATTTAAACATGCTTAAGATAAATACACTACTAGCAAAACTTTTCCACGTGGGAATAAACAATAATTATAACATTTTCACAAAAGTAAAATATCACAAGGTTTTACAAAGTAGTTATATTTTGAAATATGAAATATGAAAATACTTAGAACACACGGACATGATACACATTTTAATTCATGAAAAAACAAATTTGAAATAGAATAGTCGAGCTTTGATCACAGTTGTAATACGAGAAAATGGGGAAAAATTATTTTTTTATATATTAAAAAATAAAATAAGAAATCTCGAAATAAAAAATCTTGCTCCCATAATCCTTAATGTGCATTTGCCTCTAGGAAATCTTAAAAATCTGTCACTATTCTTCCTATAACACAATATTTGATGTGATTTGAATTTTTAGTATTGATTATTTATTAAAGTACAATTCTCTGGTTATCATGTTCTCATTATGACTTATCATGTTCTCAACTAATATGTGGATAGCAGTAGATTGCAAAAGAAAAGAAATCACATGTGTCATCATTTAAATACACAAGTTAATAACAAGAACATGAAAGAGTTTATGTAAGTTTTGTCCTTAAACAAATGTTATCTTTTCCTTCTCCATGTTGTACTAATCGGTGTTTTGACGTTCATGTACCAAAAGGTTATAAATGAGGATCTGCGGTTAGTGGTGGGGCAACAGGAACGAATGAACGATGGTGCAAATGTATGGAATTTTCCAGTACCCTATGATAAGCTTGGGGTAAGATACAGAATATGGAGAGATGCATTGGAGCAAGGAGATAAACAACTACCATTCACCTCATATACATCAAATACAGAATAAACAGTGCTTCTTCGATCCTCCAATAAGGAATTTTTCTTTTTGCAACTCAAGCCTACATCTCTACAACACCATCCGGGAACTCTTGTATTCATAAGAGGCTGTTCCTTTCCAAATATACTTGAGTCTGGACACCTTTTCACCCTTTTCCCTTTTTATTTTTTCAAATTCTGTACAGTGCCAATCATTTTTTACCTTGTGATATCTTCACCATCTCAGCTGGTGCCTTAACCTCACCCTGGAACAAAAGGGCATGTAGTATGAAACAATATTTATATGCCAATGCTATCTAATTTAGGGTTTACAATTTCAGACATATTTTATTATTACTGTGTTTGAATCTGAGGTTAGAATTATTATGATTTCGTTGTGATCTTTGATATTAGAAAAAATTGCAGATAAACACGGATAGTGGATCAAGACATTAAGGTTTTGAGTAGATTACCATTTCTACATAAAATTTAAAATCGAAACTTGTTTTGTTACTTTCTTAATTTCAATGCATATATTTGACCGTGCTTCTCAATTTCCAACAAATACTTATGTATATTTTTTCAGCCAAGTACTTAAATGATATTCTATAATGATTTAGTGTTTGTTAGTAAATGCCATTATCGAAATCAACATTAGATATGTTTCAACACTAGTCTTCTCTTAATTAAGGCCTATACAAATTTCATTATCATTATTTAAGTCGACATAAATATTTATTAAAAGCTACAATATGGTTTTGTGATATAATATGGTTTTGTTCTGGCTATCACACTCCTGCTCTTTTAAACCTTTTAATTTTTTATCCTTTCACAAAAAGTATATTCTGAACAAAAATAAATAAATCTTTTCAACACATTGAAAGAAATAACCCATTATTGCTAAATCAAGCCATATGGAAAATACAAATTTAACGTAAAATTTCCGCGCAACATAGGCATATTGCGTTCATGTACAAGTTCCCAAATTATTATCCAATTTCAGAAAAAAAAAAAAAAACGATCATAGTATTGGACATAACAACCAACAATTCCACAATTTCATTTATTACGCTTCAAATTTTCCCAAAAGCTCTCCAAATTTTACGTTCACAGTTCGGATCCACAGAAGGGGCAGAATCGGAAGTCTGCGTCCACCGCGCGCTCGCAGAAGCGGCAGCGCAAGGCTTCTGCCACCGCCTCCGGCGATTCGGCGGCGGGCGGCAGAGAGTAATTGTAGGGGAAGAAGTTCTTACAATAGGCGCAATGGTAGAGAGGATCCTTAGCCGGCCACCGCCACACGGGAACAAAGAAGAGCTTGAGAACCTTGTCGGAGTTCACAAGATCGACGCTGCTGCCGCAGTACGTGCACTTGCTCACACCGGATTTCAGAACCTGTCGCACCTCTTGCTGTAACCCTCCCACGAAGAAGAAGAACATGGCTCAAACTTAACCCTCCGAAACTTCAGCTTTTGTTCTTTGTTCTAAACGAAATTGGTGTTTTCTTACTATAAATTTTGAGAAAATTTTAGCTTACGCTATTTCGATTCTCTGGAGGTTTCTTAAGATTTCTTCAACTTTGGACTTTGCGATGTGGGCCTTGTATAGGTGGGTCACCGCCTTCGGCTATCAGCTTTATGTACTCCCATAAATTTTTCTCGTACCTCCAAATTTTCAAAATATCAATTTACCCTTTAAAAAAGTGATTTTCAAGAATAAGACTTTCTTCATAAGATTTTCGGAATAAGATTTCCTAAATATATTTTGATGACTCCTTGCTTCATGGTTTGATGGAGTGGAGTCTTGGATGAAGGGTGCAGTATAAGAAAAAGGATGTTAAAAGGTTCGGTGTGTGTGATCTAAGGTGTATTGAGATTGATATTTAGAAAGGTGAGATCAATTTTAGAGGAAGAAGGCTAGAGGAACTTTTAGGAAAATTTTAGCTAAAGTAACTTTGAGAAAGAATGTTTGGAGTAATCTTGACAAAAGTTTTCTTTTTTAAGATTAAGAGTGAATATTTTAGGAAAATTTTAGCTAAAGTAACTTTGAGAAAGAATGTTTGGAGTAATCTTGACAAAAGTTTTCTTTTTTAAGATTAAGAGTGAATTATTTTAGGAAAATTTTAGCAAGGTAACTTTGAGAAAGAATGTTTGGAGTAATCTTGACAAAAGTTTTTTTTAAAGATTAAGAGTGAATTATTATAAAGGAGTGGAGACTTCTATTTATAGGATGAAAGGTCTCCAAAATGAGATGCAAAAGGGAGATTCAAAATGTGCTCCTATTAATGTGGCACAAAGTGTTAATAAAGTGTCATGTGTATGTCACGTAAGAATTTATTAGGATTTATTAGTTTTAAATAAATTTAGTTTATAAAACCAGTCTTTTTCTGTTTCCACTATTTTTGGGCTGTTAGTATACAACATGGACTTACTTACCACGAAATGTGATACTACACTTACATTCTGTTATTGTATTTGGGTTTATATAAGCCACGATCAATTCATTAATAATATACAAGCTTGCCTCCGGCGTGTGAGCACTTTTATTGCATTTTACAATTGGTATCAGAGCTGCAAAAGGGGTCTGATACAGGGTGACAGTGTAACAAGTAGAAATACTACGAGTATAAGAGAGAGATCACTACAAATAGAGTGAAAACACTATGAGTGTAAGAGTGTAAAAGTGAACCACAGCTTGTTCGCCATGTCGTCTGAATAATTTGTTCAACCAATCATTCCAAAGTTTGATGGCCATTATGATTTTTGGTCCATGACAATGGAGAATTTCCTAAGAAGTAAGGAAATGTGGCATCTTATAGAAGAAGGTAATCCAACCTCTGCACCTGGAACTATACTGATAGAGACTCAGTGACAGATTATTGAAGAGACCAAGCTCAAGGACTTGAAAGTCAAGAATTTCTTGTTCCAAAGAGAAATTCTTGAAACTATTCTAAACAAAGCAATTTCGAAGGAAATAGAGGCTCTATGCAGAGAAAGTATCAAGGGTTCATAAGGGTAAAAAGGGCACAACTTCAAGCACTAAGAAGAAAGTTTGAATTGTATAGTATGAAAGGGGAATCAGTTGACAACTACATAGGCAGACTTCTCCATGTAGTCACCAAAATGAAATCAAATGGTGAGATAATGGAAGAAAGCATAGTTGTCTACAAAATACTTAGATCCTTGACATTGAAATTCAACTATGTTGTATGTTCGATAGAAGAGTCAAATGATTTGGATGTTTTAACTATAGATGAACTACACGACAATCTTTTAGTGCATGAACAACATATGCATGACTTCCAAATAGAAGAACAAGTTCTCAAGATAACAAATGATAATAGACCTTCTAGGGGTAGGGGTGGAAGAGGTGCATTTAGAGGAGGCCGAAGCAAAGCAGGACGTGGAAGAGGTAGACAATCATTGAATAAATCACTATTGAGTGCTTTAAATGTCACAAACTGGGTCACTTCCATTATGAGGGTCCAGATTGGGAAAGATAGGTTCAGTATTCAGAACTTATGAAAAAGATGAAGAAATTTTATTAGTGGCATATGAAGAACTTCATCACACATACATGAGGACATATGGTTTCTAGATTCCGGCTGCAACAACCATATGACGGAAGCAAGGAATGGTTTTTTGATTTTGAGGAAGGATTATGCAAAACTATGAAGCTTGAAAGTAACACAACAATGTAAGTGGTTGGAAAAGGAAGCATCTAGTTACAAATAACTTGTTTTACTCAGGTAATATGAGATGTTTATTTTGTCCCTGAGTTAAAGAATAATTTACTTAGTTTAGGCCAACTTCAAGACAAGGGCCTATCAATCTTAATCTAGCAAGGTAGCTGCAAGATATTCCATCTCGAGAACCGTCTGATTATGCATTCTAAAATGAAAGGTAACATAATGTTTTATGTCACAACATTTGCAGCACCTAAAGAATCAATGTGTAAGCAAACAGATACCAATTTCGATCAAGAACCACACTTGTGGCACTTTCGTTTTGGTCATCTTAGCTACAAAAGACTAAACACACTTGCAAGCAAAGGGATGGTCACATGACTTCCACCACTAAAATTTCAAAATAGAATTTAGGAAACATGTCTCATTGGCAAACAACATAAGGAGCCAATACCAAAGAAATGCTTATAGAGGGCCTCAAAACAACTTCAACTTATTCATGCTGACATTTTTGGTCCCATCACACCATCTCAAATAGCAACAAGAGTTATATATTAACCTTCATTGATGATTTTTCTTGTAAAACTTGGATCTATTTTTTGCAAGAAAAATATGAGGCTTTGACTATGTCAAAAAATTCAAAGTTGATGTTGAAAAAGAAGTTGGTATGTGAATTACATCTTTGAGGACCGATCGAGGAGGTTAATTTACATCAACAAAGTTTGAAGAATTTTGCAGAACTGAAGGAATTTCCAGACAATTAACTACTGCTTGCATGCCGCAACAAACTAGAGTTGCTGAACGGAGAACAAAACGATCATGAATGCAGTACGTACAATAATGAACGAGAAACAAGTTCCTAAAGTGTTTTGGCCTGAAGCAACTAGATGGTGTGTGCATGTACAAAACAGAAGTCCAACTTCAGTTGGAATAGAAAACCCTCGAAAAAGCTTGGTTTGGTGAAAAACCAAGAGTATATATTATTTTCAAGTCTTTGGTTGTGTAGCTCATACTCACATACTCGATCAAAAGAGAAGCAAACTTGACAACAAAAGCAAGTGTGATGTATTCCTAGGTATTAGTGATGTTGATAAGTGCAAAAAAGTTGTTAATTTTCATATGGAATTTTAGCACTTATGTTTTGAATTGAGTACATTTGTATCAATTTTCCCCAATCTAAGAAAGATGAAATGTAATCACATGTTTCTGAGTTGTTGAGTAAAAGGAAATCATTTGATCCCTAGTTTGTATACATTTCAGGTAAACTAAGAGAGAAAAGCAAATCCTGCAACATTTCGCCCAAGCTAGAATGATTTCGCTTAAGCTAGACTTGTCCAGGAAGCCATTACCTTAAAAGTCATTCTCGCTTAAGCGAGAATATTTTAGCTTAAGCGAGAATGATTATCTTCTCCATGAAGTTTCTTCTAGCTTAAGCGAGAATAATTTAGCTTAAGCGAGAATTCGGGCAGT